GCATAAAAGGCCTTCCTAGTGTCCCATGTCTTTGCTGGTAATATCCTTCTGCATATATATATATTAACATGGTTGAAGATAGCAGGTCAAGATAAGTTATCCCGTTCACCATCCCCAATGAAAATGAAGAAGAGAACAAGGCGCCTTCATGGACCACACTGTATTTGTGCTGACGTTTCGAAAATATCCTCGTTCCCATCACCAGATTGGTGAGTGGTCACACGAGATCGTCTGCAGCCGGCTACGCAGGGGCCAAAGCTAATCCGTGACTAGTCGGACGACCGGCAAGCAGAAACAACTACCTCATCACTCTGATGATGGAAACGAGGATGTTTTCGAAACGTCAGCACAAATGCAGTGTGGTTCATGAAGGTCCATGGTCTTGTTTTCTTCTTCATCCACTTTGGAGGATGGTGAACGGGATGTATCCACACTTCTTGCGACGTACGCCTTCCAATTTTTACAAAAAATCTTTATCTATGTATCATTTCAACGAATGGAGCAGCCATCTTCCAAGTCAACCGAAGATGGTCACTGTGAACACAAAATCAAAGGCTAACACGATCAAGGTGCCTCAGACTTATTACGCAACTACCAAATCCTACCATCCTATACGCACTGTCCATGCCTATAAAGGGTACCGACCAACCCTGATGATTATCTACAAATTCACTGCAATGACGGCAAAATCAGCCCGCCTTGCCGTTTAAACAGGATAATCGCCATCACCGCCAGAATCCTCTGTGATACCACCTATAATCCCGTCTCATTATGCATTGGCCTGGTTGACAACAGACGCATTTGTCGCTCTGAGGCCACGACAGACACCCCGCACAAGCTTCACCCTAGCCAATACTGTCTCATCGGGACACCGCAGAGAGCGGAAGCGGAAGTGGGCTTCCCCTCGGTGTTGCCATTACTAAAACCGCTACCAACACCTTCGATCCAGGAACTAAACAACTCATTTATCGTCCGTATGGCAACCAACGGACACGGCTAGAGAGAGAGGGAGAGCGTTAGACTGTGTTTCAAGGAGTAGAACTTTTAAATTAAAAGCCTACTGATTAATTGAACCTGGCTCAAATCTATCGTCTTCCAGAACTGAGTGATGGGTCACGCTTCAACAAGTTCACAGATGTGGTGTGTCAACTTAGGCCGGTTGTGGCGGGATCAACTAGTGAAGAAAACTAACTGCCCATCGGAGGGCACTAACCAGAAACGCAGTGGTGCAAATCCCACGGACAGTCCCCGGCTTCGTCGCTCTCCGGTCTGAAGAGGAAGCCAGCGTCAGAGTACCAGCGGAAACCGCCATCACCCAGGGGCAGACCCACCAGACTGGCATTGATCCAGGTCTGTTGGTGGGGTAGCGCTTGCTCGGCCAGACGACGACTCCCCTTCTCCATGGCCGCACTGACCAGATCACGGTAGAGGCGGATGAAGAGGTAACTGGGCGGCGGCGGTGATGCATTCTCATCAAGCCCGTCCAGGGGCGACAGTTGGAGGTCATCGGTGCTTTGGTCATCAGCGTAGGAAAGCGGTGCTGAAGAGACAGGGAGAAGGATATATTTAGTGGGCGGAAACGGCACAAAATGAAAGTGACATTCAAGAACACTTGGGAGCTGAGGGATGTGTTCGATTTATGCCTGGCCTAGATTAAGTTCACCGTGATTGGTCGTTGGTCTCTCGCATATTTGTTGGTTCCAACCTCATAATATAAATATATGTATTTCAAAATAAAGACGTTCTTTGGGAAAAGAGTTGTTAAATGAGTCGTGACCGAATAAAATGAAAATGGAATTGAAGAACACTCGATCCTGGAGGGGTGTGTTCGCTTTACGCCTGGACTAGATTTAGTTCACCGTGATTGGTCATTAATCTCCCGCCCAGCTGTTGATTCCACCTCTATAATATATACATATCTTTCAACGGAAAGTAGTTCTTTGGAGAAGGAGTTGTTAAATGGGTCGTGGCCGAATAAAATGAAAGTGGAATTAAAAAACACTTGGGAGGTGGGGGGAGGGTGGATTCGCTTTATGCCTAGATCAGACTAACAGTACCTTAGACCGGGTTGCCAACTCAGGTGATTGGGTAACCGAGAGTAAAATAACCCTCAAGTAAACAAGTCAAAATTTCCGTCTTTCATATCACAAAGTGCCGCACATATGGCACCTTCCTAGGCAGCTAGCCTTGTCGGCAAAGACAAGGGAGACTGGACTAGCCATTTCCGCCTTATCAGCCATCGTCAGTCAGTCATAACCAACCCCCAACCACCTGCGGCTCAAACTCGCGATCTTCTGATCAGATGCCCAACGCTCGAACCGTTGAACCGTGAGCTCGTTGTCTTACCGGTTTAGAGTCCCGCTCTGCCTTAGGATTCATTCTCGAGCCCCGCCAGCAGCGGCACGGCAACTAGTAGTCTCGGCAGCTAGCATTGCCGGCAAAGACGGGGGAGACTGGAATGACCATTTCCGAATCATTAGCCTTCATCAGTCAGTCCTACCTAAGCCCAAGTGACGCACCAACCGAGGGACATCTTAATTGTTCGGGGCTCTCCATGCGAATTGGACTAACCCATCAACGCCAACCAGTAATTCGAACAGAGAAGTGCTATAGGGCCCAAGTCGGGGGGAAAACGCGACTCAACCGGTCGCGGAATGAGCACAATAAATCAGGTATCCAATCCGCGTGGGTTGCCCCAGCCACTAGTCTTGATGCCGTTGCTCACGCCTGAGGTTCAAAAATGCCTAGCAGAACCCTAAAGTTTTCCCTCCAGTAATTCTCCTACCAGGAGCAACAAATCCACAACTAGCAATGCCAGGAGCCAAATGCGTTTTTCCGCGTTGAGCACTCTGTTGCTTTGGTTGACAGAATAAACAGTTCAATTTTATTTGTTTAAGCCCACTCGTCTTCCATTTATATCATTCACATAATGGAGCATAAAAATAGGACGAGTGAAAAATGAAATGGGCACTGACACAGGCATTTCCAGTCGTTTTGTCGTATACTACAGGCGCTCTTCAGGGCTGACGACTGGCATTACCTAGGATGAAACAGGACGCCTGCTGACGCATGCTGAACGGTTGACAATGGCTAGCAGAACAACAGGAGCCGCCGTGACAACGGGCTCTCCTCCCCTCCCAAGCACAGCATCTAATATGACAGGCCAATCATATGATCTGGGCATGCTTCTTGTTCATTATAATGCAAACGCGATTTCGCTGAGCAAAGTTAAATCCAGTTCAAGGAAAGGCGTCCTTTGGGAAAATGAGTAATTTTATTCAGTAAATTTTCGACACTGGATCCCCAGGTCGTCGTCAGACTTGAGAGAAATTTGCAAAGAACAGAACTGTTCTTAAGAAAAGTAATACAGGCCACATAGTGCTCACGCACGCCTCATAAGCAGTTTTAATACATTACATTACATACATTGCCGACTATGATATGTTATGAATGAACATTGCAGGGTTGTAAAAAGTCAAATACTTAGGGAATTCCTTAAAAAGCAAAATAGACCACTGTTTCAAGTAGAAGATTGACCATGACCTACGTTGCAACCAAAAGAGCAAAAGAAAGAGTATTTTTGTGCACGTTTTAAAAAAAATAAAATAAACTGTGAAACCCTAAGGCCGGCGAAACGTGTACGAAAAAAACATTTACAACCTAAATTGACATTTTTGAAGGCGGTCAGAAAGAAGCTTGTTCAAAACCCGGCATCCTGCTGTGACTGAAATAGCATGAAGTTAGTTTGCGGGGTAATCAATTTTAAAACTCTACCTAGGTTAGTTTTTCTTTCGAATGCTGGTCGACACTTAATGACACAGGGAATCTGCTGCATGCCAGTTCGTGAAAGCCTTATGGGGGCTGGTCAAAGATCTGACAGTTAAAAAATGTCACCTATGTGCAAATACTTAATTTGCATGATTTTAATTGGACAACTTTTTCATATCGCAGCACCGTGACCTCCCCAAAAGACCAAAAAAATCGTAAGCCAAGGTCGGACGTCATTCAGGATGTGCTGCCATAACACATTGTAAAGAAAATGACTTAATCACTGGGACAATACTTTTATTCGCCTGACCTTTCGAAATCCGTCGCGGATTCATCATCAGAAACATTAGCTGAAAAAAAGTGGCAGACCCGCTTCTGCTACAGTTTTCTGCTAATGTCTCTGAGGATGAATCCGAGACGGATGACAAAACGTCGGGCGAATAAATGTACTGTACCAGCGATCGAGTCGTCTCCTTCTCAACTACTGCCTGGGACTCGCATGTTCGCTTGTATTCCCATAACATATGTTACACATACGGGAGGTGGGAGATATGGTCGCACACATTGGCGCAGGCTCACGCCCATGTCAGCCACCTGCGTCCAATCTCGTCTCCGGTATTTTTTGGCTTTCTGTCTTGACACCGGGTACGGTAGGAGAGAGTGCGGTAGATGCAGCGTAAGTCTACTACAGTAGTCGCCAGCTATTAAGCTCACCCCGGGCCCAAACCAAATTGGGCTTAATAAGCGGCGGGCGCATTAAGCGG